TTCAATTACAGATCCAGCTTATCATCCATAAGTACTGCCTGACCAAGATGTACCAATCTACCAAATAGGTGAAATTCACTACCTGGAATTTCTTTTTAATTGCCTGTTGCAAACCCACGCAGAATATTCTGTAAATCAAGGCCTCTTTTATATGAATTTATTTTAACCTTCTTAAAGGATTTAATTATTTACTCTATGTTCAGGAAATATTTGTCTGTATTTTTAGGTGAAAAAAAGTTGAGCACTTGAGTTGAAAACATCTACCACATAAAAGATAGAAGAGATGTAACTAGAAAGCAATTCTTGTTAAAACAAACAAAAAAGTCAAAGGAGTTTCAATGCCTCGGTATGAGTCAGTAGCATGATGTGGCAGACAATAAAAATGGGTATGACCAAGCATCATGAAGGATAAAAAAGAATAGATGGGTTTCATGCTAAAATGGTATACCAAAAAGGTCAAGAATTGGTCGATGCATCTGTTCTCAACCAAGATATGATATTACTGTCTTCTTAAAATTAGAGACTAGAATCAGTATGCTTAACTAAATTGGAAAAGATATTTATCAAGACCAAAGCACATTGCAAACTTTAGAGGTCCATATAATTGTCAAAGTGCTTTGCATATACGATTTCCTATGAGGTCCCAAACAGCCCTCTAAAGTAGGTACCATTGGTATTTTCTCCACCTTACAGATGGGGAAAGCTTAAGTGACTTGATACTGATAAGTCAGCAAGTTGGTGTCCCAATCAAGAAGTGAACTCAGGTTTTCTCGACCCCATGTCTAGTACTATGCCATGGGAAATAGTCAATTTGGAAATTAAGATGAGAATTTAAAATTTAACACAATACTATAAATTACCCAAACTTACTCATGTTAAAATTAGCGTCAGGCAATAATAAAGGTTTTGAATACCTGGGAATCTTCTGGAAATGATCAGGAACAAAACAAATTTAGGAAAAATACCCTCCAAGTAATGAATGGCAGGAGATGGATAGACCACTGGATTTGAAGTCTGAAGACCTGTGTTTGAATCCCAGATATGCTACCTCTGTGTACTTAGGCAAACCTAGATCTCACAATTGATTTATCCAGTATACTACAAAAACACATATTCTTACAACTATTCTACTAACCAATAAAAGATTAATCTTCAAAACTAGGTACCCACTTGTACAAGTGTGTCATTTAACAATAATGACAATGGATCATCTTTTAAGGACTTGTGTGATTTCTAATACATGCGTAGGAGACACTTGTTATAAGAAAACCAACATAGATACATTTTGCTTCATCAAATCAAATGTCTAATTATAGTCAACAGACAGTAATTACAGCGGAATCTAATATTCTCTGCGCCTTTCAGTCAATTGTGTGACTAAATATGTGGTCTTCTGTATATTTTTTAAAGCTTATCTATTCCCTTCACATACTCTTATCAAGGATGTCCCTCAGTGTAAAAATTTTTCTCATATTTTATACAAGTGGAAAAGGACATATTTGGGGTGAAGAGCTGATATTTTCTTGATTGCATTTTTTCCATAGCACAAAACTTCTGGGTATAATTGGTCAATAGTGTTACTGTCCAGGCCCAAGGGTGGGGAACCTATGGCCTTAAGGCCACATATGGCCTTCTAGGTCCTTAGCTGTGGCCTTTTGATTGAGTCCAAGTTTTGCAGAATAAATCCTTTCATTAAGGGGATTTGTTCCAAGAAGTTTGGATTTGGTCAAAGGGCCACATTTGAGGACCTAGAGGGCCCCATGTGGCCTCGAGGCTGCAGGTTTCCCACACCTGTCCTAGCCCTTGTATTCTTTAGTGTCACTTTCTATTTCTTTATAAGGCACATTGGGGAACTGTAATGTTAATGTACAAATGTAGACTTCCCCTGTTATTAATGGAGAAGTGTGTAACAGAAATACTGACATATCTTCCATTTTTCATCTGTTTGCTGTCTTTCCAGCTGCAATCCCTGCCCTATGCCACTTGGGCTAATTTTAACCTAAAAGGTATCGAGGCCATTCTAGAGACTTAGTCGGCTCAGGTAACTAAAGGCTCAGGTTGTTGATAGCACTTTCTAGTTATACGACAATAAAACAGCCACAAGGAATTCCAAGGGTTCACTCATGCTCACGAAAATGACCTGCACTTAGATAAATCAACTTGAAGTGTCCTCAATGCCTATCTTTGTTGAATGTCCTCCTTCCATGGCTAAGTAAAAGAGCAGCTAGGTGGCACAGTGGCTAGAGCACCAGGCCTGGAGTCAAGAAGCCTTGAGTTCAAATCTAGTCTCAGACACTTACTAGCTGTGTGACCTTGGACAAGTCATTTAACCTTGTTTGCCCAAATGCCCTCCTCTGTAAAATGAGCTGGAGAAGGAAATGGCAAACTATCCCAATATCTTTGCCAAGAAAATCCCAAACAGGTCATGAAGAGTCAGACACATCTAAAACGACAGAATTGTACTGGTGTCTCACTTTGTTTCAATACTTGAACTTAAACTACCAGGGTCCTGGGTTCCCAGAACAACTTGCATGACGCTGCAGGATTGGAGCATGGTGACCTAAAAGTAGAGGATGGGCAATGCAGAAGAAAGTGAGCCCAGAGCAGTCTTCATGCTTTTGGGGACACCTCTGGAGATGGAGATTGCTTACTATGAGGTGTCCCCCACTTCTGGAAGATCAAACTGCCTTTGGCTCAGTGTTTTAAGAACTGAATCTTAAATATAATTAAGGCAAACTCTTTTAGGTTCACAGTTATGTTTATCCCTGGGCCTTTCAACTTGATTAGTAAACCCTCCTCCAATTTCTACTATTGGATTTACTTAGAACTCAGTTTACCTTCAAAGCAGCCAGGAGAAAACTTACTTTCAAATGCCTCTCCTAATAATTTGCACCAAAGAATCACAACCAAGTCCACTGGGCAGGATGCCATTTGACCTCTCAAATGACAAATGAAAAAACAAAACTCGCACATCCTTCAGTACAGCTGTTAGATCCTAATATTCTATGGATATGAGAAACTGAATTTGGGGGGATTGAAAGCTGTGATTTTCCCGTCATTAAAAAAGACAAATACTAAAGGAGTAGAAGTACTCCTCCCTTCCTAGGACTAGATGCCTTTGTATTGCTATTGGCTATCACCACCCAACTGCCTCAGAGGGATGTCACTGAAAGAAAGCCCCACCAAGTTTTAAAGCAGTCATAATTATGGATGAATAGGGAAAGAAATGCTTAATTTTGTATGGCTTTTTGGAAATGATGATGTAGTTAGCAAGCAGTCTTCAGTCCTATGATTGCATAGTAACATAGCCAGGAAGTTGAAGTGTGGCATGAGGGACCTTTCCAGGAAGAGAAAGCAAAGCAAGGCATATCCATGGAATCTGAAATCTAAGATTAGATCTAATTTAGATCTAACTGTGCTAAGAACCTGTGAGTTTTATTTGTTTTCTAATTTGGTATTCGAGGGACCAAATGGAAATCCCACCCGGTGGACTTGGTTGTGATTGCTCAGTATATGCCATTGGGAGAAGCACTTTAAAACACAATCCCTGATTCTCTCCAGGCACCCAAGGCTTTTCTGGAATTAAGGATAAAGACAGATGTGCCAATTGCACCCCCAGTTAATTTGCTGTGGACAGTCAGGAGTACTCCATCAGCTGAGAACATTTCCGCTCTCACTCTCAAACTGTGAACAGAGGGGTAGCAGTTAACCATGGAAGAGCAGGTAGCAGGTAGAGAGTGGACCTCAGTAGCAGTGGGTAGGAGGCAGCAGGCAGAAATGCAGGAAACTGAGATGATAAATTATCTGTCCACAGTTACATAGCTCGTAAGGGGCAGATCTAGAATTCAAGCTCAGGTCTCCTCTTTCCAAGTGCCATTCAGATGACTCTCCCAGTGGCTCATTTATAGTACACAAAGCATTTCCCCCATGACAATTCTATGTGGAAGCTAATTCAACGTTTCCTATTTTACAAAGGAAGAAACAGGCTCAAAGACAGTAAAAGGCTTGTTCATGGTCACATGGCTAGTTTCAGAACTGGAATCCAGTACTCCTGACTTCCAAGTCTGGTGCTACCACACTTCACCTAGAGATACCAATTACATAAACCCAAACCATTTAAGAGGAGTCTTCTCCCTCTCTACTAGCTCTTTCCTTTCTTCCGACAAACATGCTTAGGTCTCTCTTATCCTAAAAACAAGACAAAACAAAAACAAAAATCCCTTCTCTTTACCCTGATATTTCAAGGCTACAGTTAGATGAAGCTGTTTCTATTATCTTGCATATACATTAAGATAAATAATAGCCATTGGAATCTCTGAACTATTCAAACAGTACATATGGTATGTTTTGTTATTATTTCTAAGCTGGCCTGTTTTTTTAAAAAAAAGTTTAATTCACATGAATATGCTTTCTCAAAAAATATTCTACAAAGTAATTTTTAAAACATTTCAGATATTAAGACTGTTGTTATTTTTTATTTTAACATTTGAAGATTATATAAAAACTAGTAAAGGCAATTTTTTGTACTATCTTTGATGTAGGGAATTCCCTATATGGCCCTTTCATTGATGTAGGGAACTCCCAAAGAGGAAATTCCTTTGACCAGTGTCAGGTACCTGATCTGCAATTTGTAGTCTATGACAGCTGCCTGCATTGCTAGGTTGAGTGACTTGCCTATGGTCACACAGTCTGTATGTCAGAGGTGGTATTTGAACCTATGTCTCTTGACTCTGACTCTGGCTCTATCCAGTGTCAGTGCTGCTGGCATGCCATCTTCCTAGAGCCATTAATAACATTCAACCACCTAAGACTGAACAATAACAGTTCTGTGACATTTTTAGATTCCTCCCACAGTACCATGCTGGCCATTTCCATTACCCACTTCTGAATAAAAATAAATATATTCACATTTGATCCAAGGAGACAACTGACTGCAGAATTTGTGTTGAACTCTCAACAGACCTACAAACCAATGACAAAATAAGGCCCCAAATTCCTACCAGGAATTTTCTTGGCCCATCCAATCATGTGAACCAGCTCCTTGTCAGCCAGCTTGGTCAATGACATCATCATGGAGGCTTCCGTAAACGGTTTGTTGGGACGACTCACAAATACATTGGGTGGCTCTGCTTCCAGGAGAGACAGCACAAACTGCTCAGGGCTCAGGGCATTCATCAGCAGCTCTTTCACTCGGGTTACATTTTCACTGTTTTGCTTTGCTTTGCTAAGATAATTCATTTGCTCATCTGCATTCCTCTGCCTTCGTATAACTCGATATCCACATCTTTCTCTCCGGGAACCTACAGATGAAGGGAAAGGGAAATATTAGTAAAATGTTTTCCCCTCTATTTCTCCTGCCAACCCTTAGCATTTCCTGTGCCCTTAGGTTGGTGAACCTGAGGTCAATTATCTGGACAAGTGAATATCCCTTCTTTGTATGTGCACTGTATATTATTAATAGATTATATATAAAACAAAACAGGTAATATACATTGTATATAATATATATTATTGCTAAGCTAATATATTATTATGATACACTAATATAATATACATACAATATTATAGAATTTATGTTATTTCACTATGTTAATATGTAACACATAATTTAACAATATCTATAATCATGCACAATATGTCAATGTAATTATATATTATCTATAATGTTATACATAGAACTGGTATGCCTATAACATTATATTAGCATAATATTGTGCATGTTATGTATTGTTATATAGTATACACACACTATATGCATACAATATATATGATTCCATCTCTAAAGTTAAGTTCTGTTTTGCTTTTAACTATGGACTATTTTATTCTGTGTTATCAGTTTTTAAAAGGGAAGAAAAGGAAAGGGAAAAGAAATACAACAGAGGAGGAATGGGGAACAAAGAGGAGGAACTTGCTATTTTCACATAACTGGAATGCTGGCCTTATGCGTATTGGTCTTATGGTCTAAGTTCCTCTCCACCTTGCTTTCCCTCAGGGCCCTTCTTCCTTGTTTTTCCCCATTCCATGTATCTCTCTGTCTCTTCTCTCTACTCCTAGCAGAGATTTGGATTATTTTAAAACTGAGGGTAAATCAGGACTAGAAGGATTGAAGGTAGCATTTTATTTTGAAAACTGGTACAAAATGGAATAGGAATATTCCTTCCCCAATTCTATCTTCCCTGATTAATCCCCTTGTCCTCTCTCCCTGTCCCCACCTATTTCTCTATTGAGGATAATAATAATAAGAGCTAACATTTACATAGCTCTTACTGTGTGCCAGGCAGGTGCTAAGACACTTTACAATTATCTCCTTTGATCCTCACAACAACCCTGGGAGGTAGGTGCTATTCTTATCCTCATTTTACAGTTGAAGAAACTGAGGCAAATAGAGGTTAAGGGACTTGCCCAGGGTCGCATAGGTTGGAAGGGTCTGAGGACAGATTTGAACTCAGATCTTCCTGACTCTAGGCGCAGTGCATCACCCACCTGCCCCAAACTCTTTGTGCTTGTGTTCAACCCTTCTTTACCAGCTCAGATAAGAATGAGGTTCACTAGATGCCTTCTATCCTTGTGCTTTCCTACATATATTTTCATCAACTCCAATTACGCAAAAATGGTAAGTTCCTCCCGATTTTCCCCTATTTATTTTCTGGCATATTTCTTTTCCCTTCCATTTCTTACCCCTTTTAAAACAAACCAGTAATAGAACACTTACTACTTGCGTGACCTTAGGGAATTCCCTTACTCTCTCGGCCTCAGTTTCCTCCTCTGTAAAATAAGAGCGCTGCGAGATGACCCATAAAGTCCTTTCTAGGTCTAAATCTTTAACCCTATGATCCTTTCCCCAGATTCCAGGACAAAGCTAGCTAGTTTTAAGTAGAGGCAGAACCAAGCCTAAGGCATAAACAGTTGTGAGAGGGGCAGCATAGAGGGCAGTCTAACTGTAGCCAATGTTGTGCAGAGCAAGGCAGCACATCTGCACTGTGCGGTATAGGTCAGAAGAGAACCAGGAGGTATAGAAACCAACCAAGGGAGAAATCAGTGGCAGTGTAGAGAAGAGTCTAACTAAAGGTACAGTTATACTAAGAAAGACTGCCACAGACTGAAACTGAGACCTGTTAAAGACCTTAGATTAAAAAGGCCAAGGTCTCCCACTACATCCAGGGCCATCTCCAGTCGCCCTGATCTATATCTTGTCACTGCACCAAGATGGCTCCAGGGGAGAAAGCGAGGCTGGTGACTTTGCACAGCCCTCCCTCACTCAAATCCAATTCACTTGCATGTCATGGCATCACCACCCTGACGTCATGGTCCTCTTGGAAAACAAAGAGTATTTTGAAAAGTATGAAGCACCAAATAGATGTGAGAGGGTGTTATTGTTCTATAAGGAAGTGCTAGATTATGTGGTCATGGCTAATGCTATACAAGTTTAGGAAGACCTAAAATCAAGGATCTGAGGTCCAGGCAGTGGCTCTAACATTAGCTGGTAAGGCAGCCCTAGATGAGTCACTTCCCTTCTTAAGGCCTGAGTTTTGCATAAAATGAGGGAGTTAGATTAGATGACCATCTCTCAGGTACCTCGTAGCCCTTTTGTTATAAAATTGCCTTTTTTATATGCCCAGCCCCATGTAGATCCCTCCCTCTGCCTCTTACTGATTCCTCAAATCCTTCCATTAGGGCTTCATTCCTTTAAGCAGACCTTGACTCTTTAAAAAAATGTGAATTCTCCTAGGAAAAGAGTAATATATCAAATAATTTGTATCCTAGGATGAATTAATTTACGCATTTGATTTCTGGACAGAAGGCTGGCATATAGGACATGGAATACCTAGGAAGGGGTCACTAAAAGAAAAGAGGAATCCAGGGGAAGAGGAAATTGGGATAGGGGAGATAAGTAGAGAAAAGTTCATATAGAAGGAGAGAGATGCCAACTCTGCCTACCTTCATAATTTGGACCAGGACAGGCTTTCCACAGGGAAATTCAAGAAAAAACAAATTTAAGTCAGACAGAAAAAAAGGCTCCTTGGCCTCAGTTTCCTCTTCTGAAAAATGAGGGATTAGACTCAATGGCCTTTAAATTCCCTGCCAGCTCTAAATATCTTTTTCGATCATATGCCAACACCATCTAAAATAATTTCCTAACACATAGAGCTGGCCACATCACTCCTCTACTCAGACTCCAGTGGCTCCCTATCACATAATATATTAAATAAAAAATTCTCTCTCTGGCAAGTCCTTTATAACCTAGCCCCCTGCCACCCCAGGCAACTACCTTTCCAGTCTTCTTACATCTGGCTCCCTGCCAGATACTTTGTGATCCAGTGAAGTGACCACTCAGCTCATCCTCAAACAAGATACTCTATCTCCTGACTCTGGGCATTTTCTTTCTTTGTTCAAAAATTAATTATTTTTTCCCAGTTACATGTAAAAACAATTTTTTAACATTAATTTATAAAACTCTGAGCTCTAAATTCTCTCCCTTGCTCCCTCCCCACACCCTCTGATTGAGAAGGGAAGCAGTTCAATATAGTATATACATATGTAGTCATGTAAAACATATTCATAACAGTCATGTTGTGAAAGAAAACAGACCAAAAAACAAAAACCTTAAGAAAAATACAGAAAGAAAAAAAAATATGCTTCAATCTTTATTCAGAGATCATCAGTTCTTTCTTTGGGAATGGATAGCATTTTTCAACATAAGTCCTTCACAGTTGTCTTGGATCACCGTATTGCTGAGAATATTGCTGTTATTTTGTAAACAGTACATTTCACCTTGCATCAGCCTGTGCAAGTCTTTCCAGGTTTTTCAGAGAGCATCCTGCTCATCACTTCTTATACTACAACAGTATTTCATCATTCATCTTCTATTTTTTCATTCTTTTGGTTTTGTTTTATTGTTTCTTGATTTCTCATAAAGTCATTAGCTTCCATTTGCTCCATTCTAATTTTTAAAGAATTATTTTCTCAGTGAGCCTTTGGACCTCCTTTTCCATTTGCACAATTCTGTTTTTTAAGGCATTCTTCTCCTCATTGGGTTTTGGACCTCTTTTACCATTTGGCCTCGTCTGTTCAAGGTGGTATTTTCTTTAGTATTTGTGTGTGTGTGTGTGTGTGTGTGTGTGTGTGTGTGTGTCTACTCTACCAAGCTCATTTCATTTGTTTTTCATGATTTTCTTGCATCATTCTCATTTCTCTTCCCATGTTTTCTTCTGCCTCTCTTACTTGATTTTCAAAATCCTTTTTGAGCTCCAGTATGTCCTGAGACAACTCCTATTTTTCTTGGAGACTTTGCATGTAAGAGCTTTGACTTTCTTGTCTCTTCAGAGTATATGTTTTGATCTTCCTTGGCACCACCGTAACTTTCTCTAATCAGAATTTCCCTCCCCGCTGTTTGTTCATTTTCCCAGCCTGTTACTTGACTTTTAACTCTTTGTTAAGGTGGGGCTTTGTTTCCAGGGTGGAGGTCCCAAGCTGCAGGGGGTTTGTGCAGCTGTTTTCAGAAATACGTCTAGGACCTGTAAGTTTTCAGTTCTTTCAAGGTGGTATGATCTAAGGAGGGGTGCTTACTGATCTCCTGGCCTGGGAGCAACCACAAGAATTCTTTTCTGCCCTGCAACTACAAGTAGGGTTCCCTCCTCCACTGTGGAAGTTCTGCTATGCTACTGCTCTTTTTCACCCTGGGATCGCCACCCAAAACTGTAACCCAGACCTGAGTATAAGCAAAGCAACAGAGTCCTGCCTCGGTGCTAGCAAAAAGACTCCTGTAGTGTCCTTCTGACCAGTTGTTTGACCCCCTTACCATCAGTGAGCTGAGAGCTCCATAAGCAGCTGCTGCCTTTGCCACTGCTGATTCAAGCATTTCCAAGTCCTGCTTCTCGTTTGCTATGGCTGGCACTGTGCTCATGTAGCCTGCACTGGACTGTGCTTCTCTCTCACCCAGGTATGACAGACACTTCTTCTTGACCTTCCAAGGTTGTCCTTGGCATCTATAGGCTGAGAGGTCTGGAAACCACCACTGCTGCCACTGATTCTGTTGCCCCGAGGCCTGCTCCAGGTTTGCTGGGGCTGAGTCTGTGCTGGCGTGACCTGTGTTGGACTGTGCTCCTCTCTCACCCAGGTGCAACAGACCTTTCCTGCCAATCTTCCACCTTTTCTTGGGTTGGAAATTTGTTTCTATCCATCTTTTTGTGGGTTCTGCTGCTCTAGATTCTTGTTTAGAGTAATTTTTAAAATGTATTTGGAGGGTTTGGGGGGAGAGCTCAGGTGAGTCCCTGCCTTTACCATCTTGGCTCTGCCTCCA